CTCGGACATTGGACGGCAGATTCACGAGGTGACTCTCCACCTCGGTACAGCCTGTTGGCCAGACTTCGTTCCTCTCCTTGGTACATACCTACCCGACATGGTCTTATGCTTCTTGTTATTCTCATGAGGTGTTTCATCCGCTGGGAGCCTGACATGTACTAAACGCAAGTAGACAAGTGAGAGAAGGTAATCGGTGATCTTTCCTCTTGGCCCTTAAAAACCTCTCCGAACGTGGGGCTGGAGCTTACCTTGGAAAAGCCTGGTAGAAACCACGGATACGAAGAACGTTAAACCTGGTATCTCGTGCCCGAGGTTCGTTTCTGCAGAGCGCCTATGACAATGGGTTTGGAGTACTGATCCGGGTCCATCGTACTAATCCGAGGGCAATTTATGGTCGGATCGCGAAAACTTGTTAGTACTTAGTTACCATAGTTACCGCGCAGCACCGTGTGCAGTGGTCCTAGGTCGCACTTTAATAGCGGACATAACTTTCGTCGTGCACCTGTGCCGGAAACCGCAGGTAAATTGTGTTGCCGGTGCTCCAAGAACGGGACAGTAGTCAGCGAGTCCGGTTCCATAGACAACGGGGACGGATCGTTCATTGGGTGGTAAGTACGTGGTGAAGTTTGAGCCTAGTCTCGTTGCTCCCAGGGCAACGTTAATGGGCACAGTGATCGCCATCAGTTTTTTAGTGTGTTCCGTCGATAATCAATGCTTCAATTGAACAGCCAGCAGAATGCACAAGGTGAAACGGCTCCAGGGCAGCTCACACGGGCAGATGCAGCTGATATAATCGAAACTTGAGAATTCTCTTCTTACGCTGGGAACACGACGAACACGGAACTGGTGAGTGGCGTCGCCCGTAAGCATGTAGCATATTTTCCAATCCGTGCTCATACGGGAATTGATGAAGACTTCGTCGCATTCCTATTGGCCTGTGTGTTGGCAATTTCATCGCCCCTATGATAGGCGCCCTCGTCATCCATACGTTGCCCGACTAAACGACTGGTCACAGCCCCCTATGGTGGACCGGAATCAACGATTATGGTATGTATGCACCTGCGCAAAATGTTGCCTTCTTCCCTGAGATTGGACAGATAGTGTATTGTCTGATTTGTATCCCTGATTAGGCCCGTAAAGCTCTGGTGCCATGTGCGGACCGCCTATAGTGTCCACCGGAGCATAAAAGGATGTGGACCAAATTTCTCGTCGTTCCGCCCGCTCCTGATCCCATACTCACTATTATAATATATCATAACCGACACTCCATTGTGCTATCTACATTATATATAGGTGGGTCTGCGTACAACTACCAAACATCCTCTGATTTCCTCCCTCCAGTCATGTGTAATCTTGTAGTGCCCATCCGAACCTGTTCAAAGTGCCACCGAAAGGAGCGGTTGTTTGGGGACGGTAATACCTCCAGCAGTGACAAGATAGACAGCCAGGGGGTTGGTCGTTCACTGGCTTGAATCTTTTCGATCGTGACGATGACGATTCCGACCTGGTCCATAGCTGTTGGGATACATGGATCCCGCTCAAGATTGCTACTCCCGCTGGTGTATCTTTAGCAGCGAACATCCGAAGTCCTGCAGTCACTGCTGGATTACGTGCAAGCATTCGTACGGTTCTTCCTAGCGTTCGTCAGCGTAGAAGCATTTACCCTTCACCCAGGCACGGAAAGACGAGGGAGATTCAAGGTGGTTCGCCTTCCTACGTCTGCTACGGATGTGCCCCTCGTGAAAGAAAACGACAAACATGGAAGCCACCACGACCCGTGCACACGAAGACGATGTCCTCAAGTTCCTTCCCACAGTTTCCTCGGCGTCAGCAAGCTAGTAACTGCACTCGCACGATAGCAAGCCGCACTGCCATCCAGGGCGACGGCTGCGTTCCCTTGCCTCTGTTCGTGGACTTTGACCGGACGAAAGCTTCCCTTTGAGCTGTTGGGTAACACTCCCCATCCTCCCATGTACTTCTTTCTTGATAGACTACATGCTGGATCGTCTTGGGCAAATGTACAGTACAGTCGTCGCCTTCAGTCCTACGTCGCAGATGTGTTGCAGTGCCAAATGGAAAGGAAGTCACACGATGGCTGTGAGATCCACAGCCGCAGTGCCAGAGCAGCGAGGCAACCACCCCGCCAAAAATACTCCATTTTCAATTATTTTTGTTTTTAATTTTTGTGTTTTCTTTTTTTTTTCCACACTATCTCTGCCGCACATATCCGTTTTGCCGTGTCCGTATCTGGGGACCGTGTCTGTGAAACCGAAGCTGTAAGCTGAGCGCGTAACCCCCCCAAGTTCATGGACAACCCTCAGCAGTATCAACCTCTTTCACATGCGTTGAACCCGCCAATCGTGCCGGCCCCCTACGAGGACGAAGAAGACGAGGAGGAGGAGGGCGAGGAAGGCGAGGAAGAAGTCGCGGTTGAGAACCAGCTCGGAAGGGAAGACGAGGATGGAGACGGGGTCGCCGGGTAGGTGACATGCTTTTATGCAGTGACGCCTAGATGAACGGCTCTTGTATTCGCTGCCTCCATGTCACGTACACACAGGCCAAGCAATACGCCTCATCGGACGCTGAATGCCACAGCTAGCAGTGAACATCGCGATGCCCCTTCGTCCTCTAATCGGTTACAATCGAATGGTCGCTCGGCGCCTGACGATACTGACCGTAAGCGGCGTCCTGGTAGGCCTCGCGGCTCCAAAAATCGACGCCCGCGCGGTTCGGCGACCGACGCGTCGAGCACACAACCAGCGGGTCCTCGAGCTTCATCACCTGCTGGTGCTAGCCTTGGATTTCATCGATACCAGACTTCGGCGGCCCCCGGAGAAATACACCCACATAATCAGCAGTACTATGAGTTTCAATGGCGTGTACTAAACCTCTGTGCTGAATTTTATGGCGCTGCTGAAGAGCTTGTCGTGAGTTGCGCCGCGCCGAGTGTGGTATGGATGCACATTGATTTCTGGTTTTATGTACTGCTGTCCAGAAAGCGACGCCGCCGCTGGTTGTTGCTCAGTGCTACCAGGTGGGTTCCGCGGTGAAGGTCGACCCTTTGACCATGCTTAGTGAGGCCAAGAAAATATGTGATGCTCTGGTAAGTTTGCCCTCGCCCTCCCCCTGTTACACAATGAGGAGTTCACGGGTGTCACCCTTTTACAGTTAGCTTCTCCAGCCCAGCTGACCAGGCACCCACCACCACTGCCCCTGACGTTTATACCAAGTTGCACACCAGCAACAGCTCCCTCAATACCATCGTCCAACGGAAAGGCAACTCCGGTTACCCAATCCACGACCTCTGTGATCACCAATCCTCAATCATTTGTGGTACCAATGAGCCACTCTCAACAATCTTCGCAGCAGTTCGTTCCGAGCGTGTATAATAACCCTGCATACCCTACAGCTCCCTATTACGGCTATGGAGGATACGGTGGATATTATCCGCCAGTTCCGCAGGCGGGACCTAGCACAGGCAGCTCTACGCCGCCTGCTAGTGCCAGCGCAATAAACAGCAACAGCGCCGGAAATCAGGGCGCATGGTCCGACGAAGAAACTGAGAAACTAAAAAAATTGGCGGAAGAACACCGAAGCAATACCGGAGATATCGCATGGGATGCTCTGTGCGAAAAGTGGGGCAATTCAAGGACCAGGTAACTGTCGCTGGATTGATGTCATGCACGAAGGAATTCATTGCTAATGGTTGTTGGCAACAGACACCAAATTCTTATAAAAGCGACGTCTCTCGGGTTGAAGGAATCATCTTCGCGAGGCACTAAGCGGAGACGAGATACAGATAGTCATACCATCCCTGACCGCCAACCACCACCACCGCCCACACCTTCTGCGCCACCCAGTAATACCAACCAGATTGTTGCTCCCGTCCCCACTCCGATGTCCGCCCCGTCACTACAGCAGCCAACACAACCCGCACACGCCACAGTTTCTCCCGCTTCATCCACACCAGGGCCATCGACGCACCCTTCTCCTGCCATTCGACATGCTCCTCCACAGCAACAACTACAACAAACCACATCGCATCAATCTCCACGTCAACAGCCCCAACCACCACCATCTACCCCACGATTTACATACCCGATGCCAACTGTGGCAGCTGCAACTTCGCCAGTCATCTCACCCAGCGCCATTCAACGACCCGATGGACAGAGTGCCGCCAACCCCTACTATCGTCGGCCAAACCCTTCTGCGCAACCATCCGGACCGAAGCAGCCGTCCCAGCCACACGGACATCCTGGAGTCGCAGGGGCAGCTCAGTACATATACCAGCACAATGGACGGCGAGAATCCTAGCAGCTACAGCCCTTTGGAGGGGAAAAGACTACTGTGTCGTGGGTGATTTTATGCTTGTACTGATTTCGTGGGTGCTGTCCTATTATGTCGATTGATGCCGTTTGTGAGTGTATTTTGGCCATTGTTGTATCGTTCCGCCGCTACTGTTTGTGTAGTTTACCCGACATAGATTATTCTAATACCAACTTTTATTCCTTGGTGGTAAGAGATGTTGGCTTGGTATTGCTTGCAAGAACACATCTATTGCAACGAAGGCTGGCATGCCATAAGCCCTCAATCAAATGACAGAACCCCAATACTCGATGGACGTGAACTGGACAAAGGGAATGAACATAAGTTTTCTGCACGATTTCCGGGACGTCCAACTTTCGTTCTCAAAAGACCTACAAATTCGCCGCCATTTCCTTGACGGCTGCCACCGTCACCATAGGGGAGGAGCCATACGAATATAGAAGGAGGCAGTCGCGCATCTCATTGTCGACTCGGGCTCGGGTAGAGAGGTAGATGAGAAAATGATATGTTCTCATCTCGACGAGCGAAATGGGTACACGCCTTTTGCAGATGACGAAATAGGTAATGATATCAGATCCGTTGGCACGAATGTACTGGGGTTTTATTCGGTAGTCCTCTAAAGGGTGGAAGAGCTCGAACAGGAAGGTGTTGAAGGGTCCATACCAGTCGCCCTCTTAAGCGAGAACTGAAATGTGACGGCTTAAGACCAAGGCATATCTGTGTACCGTAGAGAATACGGAGACGAAAAGAGTACAATGCCTGGGAGCGGTGCCGAAGGTCAACGGTCAGAGCAACGTCAAGAGCTCGGAGCCCCTTCCCTAAACACCCCTAACTTGCCTCCTAACTATTGTGCCCTTCAGCGGGCCGGTTGAACCGGAGCCCGAAATCACCAAAACGCTGGAGAGAAGGGCCCTTCAGTCCTGTTCCAAGCACTTAGATGAGAGTGTGTATTAGATTGTTCGGACAGGTAAACAATATTCTGACGACGTTTGGTTCGGTGGAAAGGTAGAGTGCCACTGATTGAGCGGGTCGACCCAACGCTGACTGAGCGCCCCCGAGCCGATGTACTTGCCGTTTTCTTGTTCTCAGCCATGCGCGTCCCTACTAAGTCACTACTAGCGGGTTTGTGGCCGTACAAGGCGATCGATATCGGCGTGAAACCGGCTGTGCGTGGCATGAAATGAATCTCAAACCCTGGCTTGTGTACGGATCATGTTGTTCCATTCCTCCGCTTTGATCTCTGCGTACTATATACATATGACCTTGTCCCGCGATAATTTGTTCTCGCTCGCATCCCGATCGTTCTTCCCGGCGCCCTCCCAGCTTCCAGTGAGTATTACATTCCCAGTACGCTCCATTGGTCTCCTAACTCACATCCGTAGCACTATTCTCGGCAGATTCCATATTTATAACGTTCTTCATGGCGCTGAGGGGGCTGAACGTCGTCGAGGTGTGTGTGTTCCAATCGAGCCGCGAGTCCACTGAGACAAATGCACGATCAGTTTGCTGGTCTTGCACCTGGACCATTCGCTGGACTTGTGCTCGCGCATCATGGTGCATCCGTGATTCGTATCGACAGACCGTCTTTGCCTAATAGCGATGTTCTTTGCGCTGGGAAACGTTCCATTGTCTTGGATCTCAAGAGCCCAGCTGGCTTAGCTGTGGCAAGACGGCTCATCGCACGTGCTGACGTGCTTATCGACCCATTCAGGCCTGGAGTGATGGAAAAAATGGGTCTCGGGCCGGAGGTCTTCCACAATGGTGAGGGCACTATAGGTGTTAATGATAGGCTCATCTATGCGCGGGTTGCAGGGTGAGTGGAAATTGCACCGGCCTGTTCAGGCGTAATGAAACCCTTCCTAGTTTCCCTGCTGATGGTAAGCACGTTCATCATGTGTCAAGATCGATAATTGACGGTGTCAAGGCGCATACAAGTCTATGGCCGGTACGTTGATCCTATTTCCAGTCATTATCATCATAGTATCTTATGTTTGTGCAAGGCCACGAGATAAATTACCTCGCTTTAAGCGGAGTTCTTTCCGTACGGGCTCCCCCGGTACATAGCGGCCGCCACTGACCCATGAGATCTCTAGATACTGCCAGGGACCCAAGATAAACCTACCTTTCCCCTAAACCTCCTGGCTGATTTCGCAGGTGGTGGTCTCATGTGCGCGACAGGTATCTTGTTGGCCCTAGTTGAGCGTTGTAAAAGCGGCCGAGGACAAGTCGTGGACGTTAATATGGTAAGGTCATGTGTCTGGCCCCTTCATCGTCTAGTCAATCACGAGGCTGCAGGTCTCGGGTACACGTTATGTTTCATCATTCCCATTATTGCATGCCACGAGCACGTCATCCTTACTCGGCGGCCCGCGCGGCACGAATCTCCTTGATGGGGGTGCGCCGTTTTATGACGTCTACACGTGTTCGGATGGTAAATGGATGAGCGTGGGATGTCTGGAGCCCCAGTTTTTCATAACCTTCATCGATATATTCAAGAATGCTTTATGCATGAACGGCTTGAAACCTAGCTGGGTCCCTACCCCAGAGTCGCGAACTCGTAGGGAGGACTGGCCGAAGCTGCGCGCCTACCTGGAGAACGGATTCGATATCAAACCACGAGACTATTGGGCTAGCCTTTTTCATGGTGAGTTTGTGCTGTGCAATTAAGATTGTAAGACAAGCGATCGGGTGCGTTTTCCTTGATCCTTTAGGTTCGGATGCATGTGTTGCACCTGTGCTCACTCCCGAGGAGGCCGCACTTCTTGATCCTTCGAGATCAGTCCGTCCGTCTCCACACCCACACCTCAGCAGGACGCCACCGCTGTCTCGTTCCGTGGCGAAATCTGGCATGGTCCTCGAGCCAGGTTTCCACACGCAAGAAGTTCTCATGGAAATTGGTTTGTCGAGAGGGGAGATAACAGAACTCATGTCAGACGGTGCGTTCGGCGACGAAGCCAAGCATGAAGTTATATCCAGCTGCAAGCTCTGAGGATGTAGATGTATGTAAATAACTATCACGACGAAACCCCAAAGCATCCGTGGGATAATGTAAATTAAGTCCTTATCGTCTAAGCTCCATTATCAACCAATCCGAATACCACTGAATGAAGAAAGAATTTTTCTGCAGTGACGAACATCATAAACATCGGGGTAATACATACTCGCCTCCCAAGGTGCAATCCGATATCACTTGGGCGTCATGTTATGTCGGAACACCTAACCTGCGCCGTAAATGCTGGATATTAAAATTCGGTGGTAGCACTGGTGATATCTGTTGCCGAATAAGAGACATTTGAGCTAGAAACTGTCTCAGCTGTGCACTGTATGCGTCCACCGAAGCGCCCCAATCCGCGACATATCCGCCATCGGCTAGCATAGCAGGCATTGGGCTCTGGACTACTTCTGTGGCGACATACTGCTTCATTTGGGTTAGTCCCCACAGAAACTCGTTATTGAACGGGCTAGCGTTGTGGCCTTTGAAGCGAAGGACTGAAATGGGTTTACCGAGTATGTTCCGACACGCGACGAATTCCTGGATAAGCGCCATTGTTGGAGATGGCTCGTTCAGTGGTACACCCGTACCGACGACGTTCCCTGTGTAGCCTTGCGTATGTAATGTGATCGTGCGGAGATTTGGCCACATAGGGGGACACCCACACACGGCGGCCTGTTTATCGCTGTTGGTAAGCAAGCGGATGAGGCGCATGTGTCTGTCAACCGAAAGCACGAGGTCCGAGACCGCCGGCGTCGCTCGGAGAAAGTGTACGTCCATATCCACACCCCCAAAATCGCATCGAATATATCGTAGCGTGTGCAACGACTGGAATGCATGGGGGTAAGCGCATGCGATATAGCGGTGAATCCAGGCGAGGGCATGGGCTTTCACGTCCTCCAGAACAAGTATTTCCACATTCGGCGCGGAGATGATGTCGAAGAGACGGAGCCCATTGGCAAGCACACGTCCGTTTACGATCAACTCACGTAAATGGGGAAGATGTACGGGGAAGACTGGTGTTTGACTGGCAAGTTCGACGAAACCACGAAGGTGAAGAGTGGAAAGGGACGGACAAGCTGACAGTGTCCGATAAAACCCCTCTCTAGTCATGGGAAACTGAGGCCCAGGATAAGCGGAAAAGGATAGCGTCGTTGCTACAGGGCTAGGGAGGGTAACTGCGACATTATCCAAACGGACGTCCGTGAGTAAGGGAGCTCCTTTGCTGAAAATGGGGGCTCCCGTCAGTGGCCCGGGTGTGACAATAGTGCCCCTGCACATGACCCTCAATCGCCGCAATGCGGGAGCCGATTGATCTTGGAATGCGCTCAGCAACGTGGTGAGGGTTTCGCGTGAAATGGCTTCTAGGACGAGTTGTTGAAAACGGCGGAGATGAGGTATAAGCACTGTCGTTAAAGCCCGTTCCATATTGGGATATTTGGCCCAGGGCCCTAGGTATACATCGAGAAGCCCACCCCTAGACCGTTCGAGATACTCGATCAGGGAATCCTCCCTCTGTTCGAACGGGAATCGTATAGACGACCAGAGAGACGGAGTGGCGAGCGCGACCTCCCGCCACTGGCTTGAGACATGGGACAAGCGCACCTCGATGGGAAGCTGGCCGAGGAGACAGAGGACGCCAGTCCACTGAGGGTTTGACTGGTGACATTCTTCGAATATTAAGGATAGCACGTCCGAAGGTAGTCGCGACACAGGAGCTTTGGAATTTTGGATACGCGCAGCCGTGACCTTGAGATTCTTTAAAACTCGTGCCATGTCATCATGGGCGGACTGAAGGTCGCTGATCCGCACGGCGAGGTGCGAGAGTTCATGTGCTGTGTCGTCTTGAGTGCCGGCGTCAAAATATTGGAGCGACATCAGGTGCTGAAAAATTATTTAGGAAAATAAAAATCAGAAACGCGCGAGAATACCAGGAATCGGGAACTTACCTGGTCGATGGAGGAAATAACGATGCACATATCCTGGGAGTTAAAAGGAGACTTGAGAGGCACCTACACGCCGATTCCAGGTTTTAAGTAGGATGGAAGCATGTCTGCAATGATATGTCAAGGAGAATAGAACCTACCTGGTTCGGAAGTGGAGGTGAAGGTACGACGAGGGTGTGATGTGGCAGAGCCACGAAGCAACCGGAGAATAATAGACTGCGTTCGCCTTTGTATCCCTGGATAGGGCAC